AGAGAGGGAGAGAGAGAGAGAGAGAGAGAGAGAGAGAGAGAGAGAGAGAGAGAACTTAAATGTTCCCTAACTGGCAATAATCATGCACCAAGCAAACATTTCAAAATAAATGTTGGAGTTAGTTGCAGGCTAGATGTCAGAAAGTATAATTATTGTTGCTTATGACTGCAAGATAAAAGGCCACCGTAATGTGTGGTATGTGCTCTCAATATGCTAAACTTCAGGTAGGCATTTAAAGTGAATTTCCACCCATCAGTATACAAGTGGATGAATATACTGTGGCTTATGGACACAGTGGAATTGTATTCAGCTGTACGAGGAATGGAATCATGCCATTTCCAGGGACATGGTGGAACTCCTGTTAATTAAAATAAATAGGCACAGAGCAACCAAACGGCACATCCACGGTGATGCGTGGAAGCCACACAGGTGATGAAGCAGCACAGAGGTCACCGAAGCTGTGGTGTGCCAGGAGGAGACTTGAGGTTAACTAGGTAATGACCACAGGAGTGAGTACAGCTTAACCAGAGGAAAGACTTCTGTTGTTCTGAAGCATTTCTGTGCAACTGTAGTTGGCAATTAGCTGTAAAAAACAAACAAACAAACAAACAAACAAAAAACCCTTCAAGTAGCCACCTGAAAAGACCTTACTATTCTCCATGCAAAGAAATCACAGGCATTAGAGAGCATGTAAATAACAAAGATGTAGTTGGAAGTTTTTCTGTGTCCTGCCTGGTCCTGCAGCCACTCAGACCCAAAGTAAACACACAGAGGCTTATATTAATTAAAAACTGTATGGCCATTAGCTCAGGCTTATTACTGACTAGCTGTTATACTTAAATTAACCCATAATTCTTATCTATGTTTAGACACGTGGCTTGGTACCTTTTCTCAGTTCTGTCTTGTCATCTTGCTTCCTCTGTGTCTGGCTGGCAACTCCTGACTGTCCTTCCTCTTCCCAGAAATCTCATCTGCTTGCCCCGCCTATACTTCCTGCCTGTCTACTGGCCAATCAGTGTTTTATTTATCAACTAATCAGAGAAACACATATTCACAGCATATAGAACAACATCCCACAGCACAAGAATCCCTGTGTAATCATTACCCACTATGCCCGTGTGCTAAACTATCATGCTGCATGCCATAACTCATACATATGCTCACTGTATGCTAATAAAAACAGTTTACAAACACAATGGGAACCTGATTGACCCTTGAAGAATAAGGCCTACTAATGTTCTTTATCATTATGGCATTGGCCAAAGAGAATTATACAAGTTAGGAGACACCATCAATGCTCTTGAATGAAGTTAGCTCTTAAATCTACTTTATGCCTGTAAATTCTGGTTTCTTCATCTCTAAAGGGAAGATAAGTTACTTTTACCACTGACCAAAG